TAACTTTTAAATTATTTACAAAAACTGAATTTTTATTATTATAAAACCGTTTATTTATTTAACTAAATGTGAATAGTTCAATATTATTTGTGTATGCTCTTACACCATCGCGTCTTTCAATTAATACATAAATCTCGAATATTTCGGTTAGCTATTCGCGCGGTATCGCAATGCAAGAAAGCGAAATTGATAGTGAAAAATTGCCGCTTAGGAAGGATCGATTAAATTCGCATTACGATCACCCCTCGTGAAAAAAACATAGAAAGCACAAAGTGGCTAGAGCGAGTTCTTCGAGGACACTACACTCCCTTTCTTCTGTAACTCCTAACCCACGACGACGACGGCTTACTCCCTTAGCCGCTAATTAGCGCGGGACACGCACGCCCGACGACGACTCGTGTCGGGCACGTGTCGTGCCGGAAACTCGCTTAGCGCGCGACAAACAGACCGTTTCCCATCGTACATGCGCTCCTTCCGGTCGTTTCCACGAGAAAACGTGGCCGAGGCAGCTGATTAAATCGCTATTAAAACGTGTTCCTATCGCTCCCCATCGACGCTTTCTTTCATGTCCCGCTTTTATTACGGGATAGTCGTTTAAGAAAAACGCGATTGGATACGCAATACACACCGGGGTTGGATCAGCCACTAGTCACTTGATATTATGCATATATGCGTGCGATTTGATTTATTGGATGGCTTAATGTGTGTGTTCAATCGCCGAAATATTTTTGATTACTCACTTCTTCATTAAGATTATTGTTTTAGTGAAATACATTTATTAAATTATTTAATAAATAATTAAAAAATAATAAATTAATAAATAATTAAAAATTAATAAATTATACATTTATTAAATAATTAAATAATTACGAATCATACAAATATTAAGTAATTTATACTTATAATAACAACATGCACGGCATACCTAGACGTTGGGTACAATGTAATTTAATCATGCTATAGTTTTCATTTAATTCCTTATCGAAGGGAGATTTTGTTATATTATTACTCTAGTTAGAATATATACACGCTGCTACATGTATATTTTCAAATATTAAAATATACGCCAAGAATTCCTAGTTTCTTCGTGGTAATGTTATGGAAAACATAAAATGCACATTGCGTTTTATGAATATTTCACAGCGCCAGGCAACTATTTTAGCAAAAAATCTACATTTCTCTATGAAAAAATTGTTTTAGGATTTAGCAAATACAGTTATTTTCTTTTTGAGAAATTGCCGATAATAAGCTGCTCTGAATTATGGAGAAAATCGTGCGATTGTGGATGTTTGCTAGATACACTCGGTATTGGAGTACAAAATCACTTTTTGATGCACGGCGCCGCAGAAATGCATTTTCCGTCTAAATTACATTTTATTTTATATGGGAACAATTCGTCGTTCAGTAATTGCCTTTAATGATGCGAATGATGAGTCAAAATAAATGAATCTTGTGTCATTTTATGATCTTGCGTCGCGTCCGAAAAATCAAGATCCAACTCCACTAAATACGTACTAAATTTTCACGTAATTATGTTAAATTAAATCATTCTTTTCATTTTGCATTATTTAAAAGACAACGTAAACTTTATTATGTTTCTTGAATATTATTAACGATATTAATAAATACAATAATAATCATAAAAAAATATGATTAATATAAACTTTACTAATATAAACTTTCAGTTTATTAAAATTATAAAAAATATTATTTTGTAGTTGCTATCGTATTTATTAATATCGTTAATAATATTCAAGAAACATAATATAATAATATTTCGAATTTTTAAATACTTCTTAAAAATTATGACTTGAAATAATTACGAAAATTATGAAAATTAAAGAATAACAATGATTCTGTAGTTGTTACGTTAATAATAGTTAATAACGACTTTTACTATTTGTTATATGGCGGGCAAATTTCTGCTTCGGGCGATTTTGTATGGCGAAAGAAAGAAAAATAACCGTTTGCGTGTGCGTGACGAAACACGATTTCCATACGAAACAGACTGATGATCTGCCGATATATTTATTGTGGGCAATGTGCGTGTTCGCATTTGAGTCTCTCGCGGCGACAAACCTCGAATGAATCAAATCCAGAGCTAATCTGATTGCATGCCAATCCACTTTTTCTGGCTTATATTGTGAAAGGATAATTGTCATCACTATCGCGAATGAAACGACGAAAAATATTTTGCCGATTTTGCGTATCTAGATATTAACGAGTGATTTTCTTCATATTATTTGAAACCGTAATATTTCTGTATCGCGAATTTTTATGATAATAATCATGATGTCGAAAGTATATAACACACTAATGATTTATCTCTATGGATAAAGTATTATATAAACATTGTAAGATATCTCAATAATTACAACAAAGAAGGTTCTTTAAGATCCGTTTAAAAGATTCCATTTGATAACTTTTATTAGGCATAACAAAATATGTCAAAAGCTTTAGATTTATATAATATTTCTCTTCTATTTCCCTTTCCTATCTAAAGTGCACGATGGCGTGATATCGATTCCTAGTGTCGCGTATATGCCCTCTGCGTGATTCTTTCATATGCGAAAAGGGTCAGTTGCATAGAGACGTGGGTGCGACATTCATGGAGACACCCTATTGAAGATGCACCGCAGGTCGCGTTTAAATGCACACATCGATATAAAGGTGCGGTCACAAGTCCCTTCGTCCTCCGTCCTCCGTCACATTGAATTGAATAAATGAGCACTACAACGCAATGTCATTTACGCGATAACGCGCATCAAGCAAATGCAACTTTTTATAAGCCTACTCTGCGAATAATGCACACGAGGCTTATTATGTTTAATGAATCAAGTGACATTAATGATGTCTTGAAATATTAATAAAATTAATATTTTAATTTACAAAGTATGGAAAGAATATTTAATTTTTTTTTTGTGAGGGGGAGGACAAATATTTTAATTTGTTAAAATATTTGGGTAAAATATTTTTGTATACTCTAACAAATGTATCTATATTATTACAATATGCATATGATCTGTCCCAAAATCAACACATTGTGTAGATATTAACGAGTTTAACTCTATTAGGGTTGTATCATCGATACTCAATCAATCTTATTTTATAAAATTATATATATTAGATTTATAAATATAATTAAAATTATTATGAGATTTATTATGAATAAAATGAGATTATTTCTTGCTTCTCATGCATGTTATTTTCGAAATCTTAAAAAGACATTAAGATAGGCTCTATAAAATTATCGAGGTCTATGAACTTTATTCGTCGTTTCTCAGAAACTATAAGAGAATAAATTCTTCTCGTCTTCGACAATTTACGATGCGCGACCTGCGTTCGAACATTCGGCCGATCACAGGACACCAATAGTCTGAATAATACACAAAGTAGCTTACCACGATGGCAACAAGATACAGAGTCTTTATAAATAATTCTGAAATCACCCATCAAAGACACGATCGCACGTTCTTTTTCAAGTGCTATGAAGAACAGTATGCGTTTGGAGACAGATGACAAAATATGAGAAAGAATGACAATATGAAATTGCAACTCAAGGCAGACGAAATTAAATTTAATCCTTTGCATTCGTAATAATTTGAACTTAGAACCTGGTAATCTAGACAACTGAGAGCAGATATACAAATGCAAAGAGTTAAATATATATATAACCGTGAGTTTATAATAACAATTAAAATTATTTTATAATTTGTCTTCAAATACTTGTCTAATTAAGACGCTGTTCGAAAACATCGTTTACGATAAAAAGAATATAGTGTTGAAAGTCGAAACCAATTCAATCGTTTGATATCACGCCATTCTATTATCGAGCCTATTTTTAACCACTCGCTTGGGTCTTTTCGTTCGGGTGTAGAGCCTAAGGAGAGAGACTCGTTACTAACAATATAGTTATCGATCGGTGATATGCAGCAGCAACATTTGGTCGAAGACCGTAGAGAAAGAAGAAGTTTAAGAGAGAACATGCGACAAGCTGTAATTCCGAGGATAAAACTTGAGTTGCACGAGTATAGCCGCAACGTAAAAATTAGATATACATAAGTGGAGGCTTGTTACCAACGAATGCAATTATCGATACACACGCAAGTCTCGTATGCCAAAACTTTGTCATATGGTCGCCTGCTTTGTCCGGTAAGCGCATTACAATCTCTTTAGAGAGATGCGCGAAAATGATGACAAAGAGATCGGAGAAGCGTATTGTATTTCTGAGACTTTATGTATTGTATAAAATATTGAGGGCGATCATATACACCTCCGCTCATTTTGAAATCGAAATTAATTGTTTGGACATACATGTGAACGGTATGATTATTTTACTACGAAATTTATATTATTATAGTATATTATTTTATTAGAAAATTGGATATAATTTTGAATTATATTTAACTTTTTTTTTCACGAACTTAGTTCGAAAATAGAACATGTCTTAGGACAAAAATGATAAAGTTTGGATTATTACGTATTTAAAATGCAGGTATAATTCCGATTATACTGACATTGAATTCTTTCTGATATACTCTTTAGGCAGTTCGTGCACTAATAAAACATATTAGTAACCTGATATGCAAACAATTAATTTCTGTATTTTTAAACTAGATGTAGAATCTCTTTTCGTAATGAATATAATCCTCTTCATATAAACAGCATTTATCTGTCTAATATTTATGTATGCAATGATGACTTTTTCCCATTTCCTGCGTGTGTATAAAATACTTAATACATGACATCGTAGAAATTCTATGTAGACATTCTAATAAATTTATAAACGCGCACGCGTGAGCTAGGATTTTCATAATTCTATCAATGCGAGCCAAACGAAAAACAAGAAATGAAAAGGAAATTTTCGTAATGAAGTTGTTCAAATAATAATAAACACCGTTTATAATTTGCCGCATGATTAATCGTGATTAAAAATTAATTTTTATATCATGCAGACATTGGAAATCGAATCGAGATGCACTGAATTGCTGAAGACTTACCAGTATGGATGTAGGTGTGTTTCTTCATATCTGACTTCTGGTGAAACCTTTTGCCACAATATTGACAGGGATAAGGCCTCGTGTCAGAATGGATCAGCAAGTGAGTGCTGAGTGTGCTTGACCGTTTGAAGGCTTTACCGCACTGCTTACACTATTATAACAAACAAAAAGCAAATGGTTTACATATACACCTTACTACATATCTTGCCTGTTTGATAAAGAAATATATATTTTAATATTTATTAATTATTTATTAATTATATCTTAATATTAATTATCATTTTTAATTTTACTACGATTTTGCGAGCCTAGTAAAGTAGAGTTATTTTCATTTTGCTGTTAAATATAAATTTCCTTTGCTGACAAATCACCATCGTCTAACTGTTAAACCTCTATGTAGCTAATTTATCAATTCCTTTTTGACAGCTCATGTTCTCGCACATCACACGCGTTATTGATTATGTCTCTCTTAAGAAAATTTTTTCTGCAGTTATGCCTTCTCAATTTTGTGATCGTGAAATCTTCATCACATTTTGCATATATTAGTATATTAATATAATTATTAAGAATTAATAGATTTTATCAATGTTGGTTCAACTATATTTCCTCAAAAATTTGCTAAAATTTATCTATTATAGAAATATCTGAAATTCAACACATATTGCATTATAATAATAAGTTATGCTCAGTCTTCTTCATTTCCTTAAATTTTCGTTCCTCGCTCGAAACTTGGATTGTTTCTCACATTTATAGCGGTTGTCATATAATCGCCGTAAAATATATTACGTTTCGAAAAAGTACATAAAATATATTACGAGTCTGCATTACTTCTCTAACGCCATAAAGTCTCCCACTTTTCAACTTCTTATGCGAACGCATAAGAAGGGAATGAATGCAGACGACAAGGTAGACGGAAGGCGCTCCTGAACGTCAGGACGCTATGCACACCTGTGTTCACGAA